CAATAGTGATAGGTGTTTCGCTATGAATAATGATAAGTCAATGAGGAAGATTAAGGAGAGCCCTATGCGATGTGTCCTGGTTCTAGGGAAGGTGGTGGGGTATGTGAGGGGAGGGGGGGAGTGTGGAGTATTACGCGTTCTTTGTTGCCCGTATATATCGCTGGCAAGTGGACAAAGAGACTGGGGTGGGTAAAAATCAGGTTTTGGGAGGAGGCGGATGGAGTAGGGATGAAGAACCCTCGCAAGTTTTTTACTGGCTCAGTGTGTAAACGGGTAGTGAGAACTGATGGAAGCGAGGATGTCGCCGGGCGAGTGCGGGTGAGGAAGAGCTATACTGGAGGCGGGGTCACTTGACAACGAGAGTGAAAAAGGAGCATGGGGAGTATGTGGGGTCGGGGAGCTGGGGAAATATCGAGAACTGTCAACCAGGTGGAGTAGACGCAGGAGCAGGCGCAGGAACTCTGACAACCCGACGAGGGAAATACGGGTAGCGAAATCCTATGGGAAGTGGTTCTATGTGGCGGAGAGATGGGTATGTGACGAAGGAGGCCTTAACTTATTTCTGTACATTATAAGTCGGAGTGGCAGATTTGGAAGGCGCGAGGTATGATGGTTGGATTTCCGGATTCCTGAGGAATCTTGAAATTGCGTGAGTTTCTTACTTTATGGAAATAGAGACGTACGAATACCTAAAACTTACTATAAATGGTATGGGCCGAGTTCGAAAGGAGCTCGTGAAATAACATGACATTACTAATTATAGAATGGACCGGACGCAAGAGCACCTTACAATTCTACCAGTCCGACAGAGTCGCTGTTAGGGATACCAATTATTAGTGGATAAATAAAGGAAAGTGAGGGATTTCGTGATGATACCTGAGTAGCAACCCAGTAAAAGTAAACAGGAATCTCTCGGAAGCTCCGTACACACGTCGAGGCGTGGGAAGCAGGCTCTTCGAATCTTGCGTGTTGCTGTAGCGGAACGCCTTCCTTAGGCGTTACGCTGGTAGAACTGGTCGTAACTTGGTAATGCTGGTTTCACGTGGGTAAAGACGGTGCGGTCAGTAAGGAACTGGCCCCAACACATGCCGCCCAACCCAACGGAAATCTAACTCGTTGGGTGAGAGTTGGGTGGACACGTTTCCCCTTCCGTGCTCAAGACGGATGGGGAGGATGGCTATGGCGGTAAATTCCTCGGTGAATTCTTCAACCGTGCGGCGGCGCAGGCCAAGGCGCATTAGCGCAAGGACGCAGGAGCGCACGCCGGTTCCCTAGGTACTCTCCTTTTCGAACAGGCACAGTCTTCCTTACGGATCTCATGGGTCTCAGAGTTCAACTGGGTCTCATTTTCAGATAGTAAAAGATTAGTATTTTCAGGCTTTTTATGGGACGAAAAAGAGGACTTAGTCCTCCCTTAGGATCCCTACCGGTAGTATGCAGTCTGTATCTGAGTTATACCCTCCTCTGCTTGTATGGGATGATGGACATGTTTTCCAGCAGGTTCAGCTCCCCACCAATAGAACGGAGTCTTCAAGCATGGGGCCCACTTGAGAGGGATGCTCTTGTCACCCCCTAAAGTGATCACCCATCCATGGAGTCCCAAAAAAAAAAAAAAAAAAAAAAACATGCAGGTCGTGCAGACACGGTGGCTAATCCTTTTTCTAGATCAAACACCCAGTGGGCCGGCGGTCAACGATCCTTCCCGCCAAAAGCCAGCAATGGGACCGGCGCGAAGAGGGAGAGAGAGAGGTCGACGATCCTGTGACGCCCAACCTCACGCCCGGCGCGACTTCCTGATCGGAGTGGGATGTGGGCCTGGAAGTGCGAAAAGGGGTGTGCCAAGGATTTTTGGGGAAAGTGGGGGAGTCTTAAGGGTATGAAT